GGGGGTGGGGGGGGGGGGGGGGGGGGGGGGGAGGGAGGAACATTCTTGATCGGGTGATGATAGCCAATGAGCTAGTGGGTGATTTTAAGAAGAGAAAAAAGCCTTTTTTATTTTCAAAGTAGATTTTGAAAAAGCTTATAACTCGATGACGTGGGAACTCCTCCTTTACATAATGATAAGAATGAGTTTGATGAGGTGTGGATCTCTTGGATAAAAGGTTGCTTAAAGTTTTTACAACTTTATTTTGGTAAATAGATCCCCTACTAGAGAGTTTGTGAGCAGAAAGGACTTAGATAAGGAGATACTATTTCTCTTTGTTTGTTCCTTATCATGGCAAAGGCTTGGGAGGGCTTATGAGAGAGGCGTGTAGGAAGCAACTTTTTGAGAGTGTCCAAGTAGGAAGTAGCAATGCTCAAATCTCTATCTTACAATTTGCAAACAATGCTCTTTTATTTGGGAACCCATTTTTGAAAAATATATAACTATTGAAGATTATTTTAAGGTGTTTTGAGTTGACATTTGAGATTAAGGTTAATTTTTTAATAGTATTGGTGAGACTGCTTTGGTGTTAAATTGTAGAGTCACGAGTATTCCTTCCAAGTAGCTTGGCCTTTTGGTGGGTGTCAATCCAAGGAGAGTGGAGATGCATGGAAGCCTACGATCAACAAAATCAAAGGAAAACTCAATTTTTTGAGTAATAAATTCTTGTCCTTCAAAGGGAGAATATGCTTCATTTAGTCAGTGTTTTCTTCCTTACCTATTTACTGGCTTTTTTTTTTCAAGATCCCTAAAAGTGTCATCCAAAACATTGAGAGTCTATTTAGATCGTTTCTTTAGGGTGGTTTGGGGGAACATAAAAACTAGCTTAGGTTTGTTGGAATGATGTGTAAACAAAAAAAAAATGAGGGTGATTTGGACATAAAAGATATAGGTCTCTTTAACGAGTCTCTCTTAAGGAAGTGAGGTTGGAGAGTGTTGATGGAACCTAATAGCCTTTGGGTTAAGGTCATAAAAGAAAAATATGACATAAAAAAGGAGGTGGTGCATTAGTGGGGGTGGGATAAAGGTTCTACATGGTGAAAGAACTTAGGAAGGGCGTGTAATATGTTAAGTTTAGATAGTTGGTTTAATCAAAACATGGTGAGGATTCTAAGGGATGGGGAACTTGTTTTGTTTTGAGAGGAGCCATAGGTTGGAGAAAAAGGTTTAAAATTTGACTTCCCTAGGTTGTATGGGTGAATGGGTTGACAATTGTTGGCACTAGAATGTCTTTTGGAGAAGGAATTTGTTTGTTTGGGAACATAAATTATTTATTTCTTTGATGCATCTTATAGAAACAAAATATGTTAAAATTCTTTGTGGTGAGAGGCACATACAACGAAATACAAAATGATACTCTTGTTAAACTAGCTAATGTGGACAACAATTTACACAAGTGCTTGTGGCCTTTGCCTATTCCATCCAAAGCTACGGACTTTTCTTGGAGAATGGTGCTTGATAGAATCCAAACCAAAGATTATTTGTGGAGGAATAGCTATCCATCGTATCTAGCTTAGCTTGCCCACTTTGCAATGAGTTTGACAAGAATATGGTGTACCTTTTATTTACTTGCAAGGTTTCTTATTTTGTTTGAATGTATATATATTGATGGGAAGGTGTTTTGACAACCTTACCATCGTGCCCTTTACCCATTTTTGGCAATATTGTGATCAAAGGAAAGGTGAAGTCATAAGGCATGTTTGGTGAGCCTTACTCTCCTCCATATAGATATAACAACACTTTGAGTGGAAAAAATGAGAAAACTAGTCAAGTATAACCATTGTATTCTCTTTTGCGGACCAAAAAATGGTTATACTTAATTAGTTGTCTCATCTTTCTTCACTCAAAGTGATATATAAAAGGAAGGATCAAATTACTCTAAGAGTAATTTTTGATAATATTACTCTACATAATATACATCATGAGTTATTAAGTGAAGTAATTTTACCAAAAATTACTCTTAGAGTAATTTGATCTTCTCTCTCTCTCTCTCTCTCTCTATATATATATATATATATATATATGAGGGGATTATAATTACACTAGTGTAACTTTTACCAAGTATTACACCGGTTAATAACTTTATATTAAATGTAAATTTTACAAATCTAACCGTTAGATTGAAAGTTCATATCTCTTAGATCATATATACAAAACTTTATATTAATCCAAAATGATTTAATACTTCATTCTTATAAAATAAAATTGACGTAATATATTCATTTCAAAATACACTAAAATATGAATACTTTGATTACCTTCAAATTGTTCAATTTTAACAAAATTTGATATACACGTATAAAATGATATGAAATTTCAATCTAACGGTTGAATTTACAAAATTAACATTTAATATAAAGTTATTAAGTAGTGTAATACTTGATAAAAATTACATTAGTATAATTATAACCCCTCTATATATATATATATATTCTATTTTGGTTTAGGATTTAGGATTTAAGCTTGGTAAAGATCTAGGTCTCCACCAATTATTCCCTATGTACAAATGAATTGCAAGGCCTTTCATAAGGTTATAACAGGGTAGAGTGAAACCTTTAGGTGTGGATTTTTAAGAAAAGATAAACAAAATGACTGAGATTCCAAAGGGCACATGTATTTCCCTAGTAATCTATAACCTTAAAGAGGTGTTTAGCAAACAATTCTTTTTCTCTATTTTTTTTTATTTCTTTATCCATACTCCCTTCTTTTTCTCTTTATCCATTCTTTTCTCTATTTTTTTTATTTTCTTATTTTCTCTTTATCCATACTCCCTCCACACATTTTGCATTTCCCTATATATTTATGTAGTTGCCAATGTTTTTTTTTTTTTCCATAAGGCACCTAAAGTTATGAAGAAAATTTAGTTAGGTACCAAGAAAATATTTAACATTATAAGGCTATTGTAACACCTTATACCCCTCTAGTTAATACATATAAGAAACAATAAAGATTTTTCAAAATAAAAATATTTCATTAAAAACCTAGCAGAACATTTTCAAATCAAATGTTTCAAAGATAGAGGACTCACATTCACTTCACATTTCTAAAAACAAAGCTTTCAAAAGATACTTAACTTGAATAATATTAATAACAAATAAGCTAAAAATAAATGAAAGTAAAGTGGCTCTCCAAAGGCCAATACAAAACATGAAACTAAACAAAAGGTTCCTACACATAAAAGGAAATATATCCAAGAAAATAGCATAAACAACCATCTGAAGGCGCCAACAACCGGCAGAGACAATATTAATTGCAATGTTCAGTGGTAACATATTGATTACGAGTTACTTAGTCCTGAAGAAATACACATGCAATCCTAGTCAAATATTCTAGTACACCAACACCCCATATGAGTTAATGATTGTCATGTTAGTTTTACATAATCAAACTTCTACAGTTCTACAACACCATTTTGAACCACCCTTGTAACATGAGATATCAAGATATCATTATAAGTTTATAAACAGGAGTTTCGATCTCAAATGAATTGTCATAACCGTTTTCATCTTTGAAAAAGCACTACAGGGGTGTAACTTTAAGTCAGATCTCAACACTTCCCTGAACCCATTTGTGCTAAGCAGGGGTTCTGCATAGAGCTCAAATTGCTCCCTGTAATCTTCAAGTGATGTGGTTTGATATTATAGGATTATTGTTTAGGTGGAAAAGAAGGAAAAGAAAGGAGGATCACAGTAACATTCTGAATGAATGATATTAGACCGATATTTATGTGATATAGTACAAAGTTACACGTATTTATGCTAGTTTACTAGTGCACTACTAGCAGCACTAGCCTAGTCAAATGAAACTACTAGCCTAGCTAAGACTCTACACAATAACAACTCTAATATTCTAACTTCTAAGTTCAAACACCTCCCAAGAATTGCCGGTCAAGGTAGCCAACTCGAGCCATCTATTGTGAAATGTAGAATTAATACTGTGTATCACATCTGACATGATCAAGATCTTCCTCTTCAGATCAGACAACAAAATTTTAATTAATAAATATCTATTAAATTTTCATTTACAAGAAACTCCCGAAGAAAACCATTTAACTGTTTTGAATTTTGATGCCATACCTGTTTTTATTTTACATTCAAGAAATGGAGAAAATATATTGATTCTCCAAGCTATCTTTACCTGTTGGCATGGAAAATTCATTTGGAGAAAGAAACCTTCGCAATTCAGGAATGAGTTCTTCTGATGGGATATATGAGAATGTGTCCCTGGATAAGTAAGTCAAAAGTACAAAACCAAATTTTTTTTATTACCTTTTGATAAATAAAATAATATAGCCTACATTGTTGTCAAGTAATGAAACTAGTCATTTTTCCTTCTTTACATTTAAATACATAAAAAATACATTCAATAAATGAAAGAGAACAATTTTTTTTGTTTTTTTTCTCATGGTTATAGACAATACATGGGTGCTATCTAGTGAAATTTATTCAATCATTAACAGAAATATATTCTCTCTTTTAGAGACAAGACACATGCAACCATCACCGTGAATGTTGGGATTCCTTTGCAAGGTAAGGCCTTGGCTCTCCAAGCTAGCTAGTCGGAGAGCCCAAGCCTTATAAACCCCACACAAGAATCCCATACTTCCAATGTATCCCATAAATTGCAATGGAATCCTAAAACATTCCACCATGATCCACAGCCCCAACACCCATTTAGGCTGGCTGTGCACTAACCCCTTTGATTAGTCCCGGACAAACACTGCAATGCCAGCATCACCACCCACACTGCTTGCTTGCAGTTGAAAGAAATGGTGGAAGGCTATCATACCAGTTGATAGAACTTGTGAATCAAAACAGAAAAGAAAGTAAATCTTTATTGAATTAAAGGGAATATCTGCCAATGAGAATGATACACTTCAGATATTTCGAGAGGTCTCGACATTGGACCACTCCTCACAATTTTCAAACTATTCAAAAGTCCCCTAACAATATCCCATTATTCCCCCTTTATAGGAAGTAAATGGTTTACATTTTATAACATAAAAAACTAACCCCTAAATGGGCCCATCCAGCTGCAGCCCAACTACTTCCTTTTTTACACTTGCTTAATCACAGGCCTGTTATCAGAAACCGTATCCAGAAAATTTGAAAACATTGATAACTTTAAAATCAATGCTACTTAATTTCGGTATTGTTAGCATTGACTTTTATTATGTATTGTACTATAGTAGTATTTTAGTACTTTTACTTATTGAAAATGACACACCTATAATACAGAATACTAGCACATAGCAATTGTGTTGCCAATTGTAAGTAACAGAAGCTGGTTGGGGCACTCAACTCTTGTACATGGTAAAACTAGATTTAATCTGGGCCACAATAAACCTCTTTTCCCAAGTTGCGCTGGTTTAGGTTTCTTTTCCAGGTATCAAGCTTATTTGTTTCAGGTAACACTACCAGTCTCTGAAAAAAGTAAAAAAGGATTTGTATCTACCATCTTCACATTGTTGTGGCAGTCAAACAAATGCTTGCAAGCAATCAAATGGTAGGCAAGGCATCCAGAACTGAAACTATCAGATGAGCACCCAGCCGAAGACACAGTACTCCTAATCAGCTCAGGAGCAGTGTAATTAAGTGATGTCTGACATGGCAAAACAGAGTCCGCAACATCATATTCCTGTGCAGCAGTCTAGTAGTCAAATAAGATACAGGTCATTCAAGGAAAACTTACTTTGATCCTGACGATGAGAACAAGATACAAATATAAATTAGTATATTATAATGTCACTTAACAAAACTTTATTTGGGCTACTTAAAAATCAGTCTTGCACAGATATTACAAACATAATCAAGATAATCACGTAGCAAGGCAGAACTATACACAATCATGTGACCAGAAGAATAATCGCACAGGTATGATTCCAAAATGCAGAGACATCTGCTAGCAGAAGAATACAAGGTAACTGGAAGCAGAAATTTGTGCCTAAGAATAGTAATCCGTATAAAATTTGTATTTAATCAGCCAATCTTAAATTTCACAATGGTAGAACAGAAAAGGATAAGTATGATAGATTAACTATCAACCCAAAAAGTAATCCGCAAGTAATCCGTATCAACTGTGATTGGCGCTAAAAGAAACTTGAGCAAAAACTTCGAAGAGCAAAAAATATGTTTTGCAATTAAAAGAAACTATGGAAGTAACATTCAGAAATGCAAAGACAAAAATATCGCTCCTGATGCAAGCTGGGCTGTAACCTTTACTAACTAGGAATGGTACAAGCTGGAGAAAAAAAAAATCATATCCAGTTATGCTAACATGACCTCTCCAGTCCTATCCAAGCAATAGCATGATATAACATGGAGATGCAATAAAAATTATATCCCCAGAATAACATTAGCTCATGAGCCATGAAAATGACAAGGCTACCTCAGTCAAAAATTCTCTCCCCAGTTGAAAATAGGAGGAATATAAAAGAACTAAAAATGCATAAAAATCCAGGAATAAGAAACACCGCTCTCCAGCTTTCTGGACTTGAAAGATCAGAATTCGCAGCCTTGGCAGCTTCCAGAAGCTTCCCAGTTAGGTCGACACCAACAATGCCAGCTAAGGTACCGGCGGTATTAGAAACACCCATCACTATTCCAGCATATCTGGGAGCAACATCCATGTGGTTCACTGCGAACCCAGCTCTGCCAAGTGCCAAGAAACCAAGAGCCACAGAAGAACAGAAGACAGCACCCCCAGAAGTTCTGAAACTGGGAATGACCACCAAGGCCAGAGAAGCAACCAAGAACCCTAGGGTGTTCAAGAATTTCCTGGTTTTAGTGACAGATAATATTCTGCTGGTGATCAAGTAGTCGGCGACAACACCGCCAATGTTTGAGAAAAGGAACATGTTGAGATAGGGCATCATTTTAGAGGAACCCATATCTTGCAGGCTAAGCTGAAGGCCCAATTCAAAGTAGGTTGGGAGCCAGTTCATGAGCACATACAAAGCATAGTGAAAGGTGAAATTGTTGACAACAATCGCCCACACAGGGAAGCTGGTTAAGATCTTCACCCAGGGGATTTGGATTTTGGCTGACACTAGTTTTTTGTTGCGAGTGTCAATTTTTTTATTGACGGGAAGCACTGATTCCCCAACACCAGAGGCAGTGGATTTGGGGTCAGTGGCGTATTTGAACCAAAGTAAAGACCACGAAGAGCCCAATGCTGCCTCGGCAAGGAACACAGATTGAGGACCCTTAAACTTGACTAAAGTTGGAAGAAGAAGCATTCCTAGAGCTGCACCTAGGTACATCCCAGAAGTGGTGAGAGAGACGGATCTAGATCTCTCGTGAGGAGGAACCCACTGCGCTAGAACTGTGTGGATGGAGGGGAAAATAAACCCTTGTGCTACACCAACGAGCAAACGAGCAATGACTAAAACCATAACTCGATTCGGATCTAGAGGAAGTAGCGCGCAAGTTAATGACCACAACACAAATGAAAGAAGTAGGACCCTCCTCCCCCCGATTTTCTGGGCTGCCCATCCTCCTGGAACTTGAGAACACGCGTATCCGTAATAGAACGTGGAGAGTATTGCACCTTTGCTCGATTGATTCACTCCGGCGGCGTCAGCAGCAACTGTGTAGGCGATGGAAAAACCAACTCGTTCGATGTAGCAAACTGACGTGCAGATGAAGGTCAAAATGACAATCAAGTAACGCAGAGGGAGATTCATTAGCCTTGGGATTCGACGAAACGGAAGCGTGAGTGTATGCTTAATCTAACCATTGCATTTCACAAACTCTACTACTATCAATTGAATTCCACCTAACCTGCTGGCTACTTAACCGTTTCATCAAATAAATCACCCTAACCTACCTTACCACGTTTTTCTTTACACAGTCACTTCTCTTTCTTTCTACTTCCTACTCACTACTCACGTAACCCTTAATTTAAATCTATGCTGCACATTACTTAGATTGTACCCACTCTTGGGTTTTATTATCGCTCCTAATCCCAATACCAAATCTTTACCCTTACCGTCAAAATAATTATCATTTTACAATTTTAAAATTCAATTATTATTTTTCTCAATTATATCTCTATTTAATAGATTATTTTCTTTGTCAGATATTCATTGTTGAAATTATGGAATATTAAATAAGGATTTCTTATCTAAATTTATATTTATTAAAAAAATTTAACCTATGTACATTAACATAAAAGAACTTACGATTAGTATCATTGATTAACTAAGTTGTGAAAATTCAAATTCTAATGTAGAATTATAAATTATTTTTTATTTTCATTGTAATATTAGTACAGATTAATATTTATTAAAAAAAATTTCTCACTATCTTTAATGCAGTATTTTCTCTCAAACCGCATTTTTTAAGTGTTTAATTTTATTGAATAAAAAATAAATGTTTGGCTTTATACAATTTAAATTTTTAATAAATAAATATTTTTAAAGTATAAACTATATTATAATTAGTATTTAATGTATTCTATTGGATAAGTTTTTATAAAATAAGATTTATAATAAATAAATATTTTAATTTTATAAAATATATTAAATGTTTAACTATGTTTATAAATCCTAAATTTAGTTTTCATAATTAAAAAAAAATAGTGTTGGTCATGATAGAACATGAATCTAGAAGGGGCTTGAATAGATTCTACACTTAGATGGTTTTCTAGGATCTTTAAAACCTTTTTCTTATTCTCTTTTTTCTTATCCCAATTACAATTAATCAAATTCATATTACATATCCGTAATAAGATACAAAATATCAGATATCGCATGCAGGGGATCAAATACTCGTAATGCAAATTGATTTTATAAATTACCTTCTTTTTCTTATTATTACCAAATTGCATATATGATGAATTGAATATGAACAACAATTGATAATAGATAAAGAAACGTTTTCTTGAAATTCTTTTAAACAAATATCACAAGATGATAACAAAATTATATCAAGAGATGAATGTTAAGAGAGAATTACACAATAATCTATACTGGTTCAGCCATACAAGGGCTTACATCCAGTGCCTCACTTAGCACACCACTAAATCAAGTCATTTCACTATAATATTTTTTCCACACACCATGTATAAGTAATATTACAATCAGAATAAAAATCATACACAATCTTGAATCCACAAGATTTCACAAACAAAGATTCTTGCACCCCACAAGAACCTACTTAACAAAAACAAAACCAGTCTTAAGATTTTTCTTAACTCTTCTAGAGACACCCTATCTCAAAGAGTAACATAGCCCAAAAACACAAACAAAGATTTAAGATCAAAGAGAATACACTTGATATGTATAGAATGATCTTGTATAGAGATTAACTCAAAAATCCTTGAAATATTTCAAGAACTCATCTTCTTCAATTAATCTTTAGCACTTGTATTCTTTCTGAAAAGTTTGTGATATGATCTTATTCTAAAACGTTTTTCAGAGTATAATAATGTTTTTTCTTGAAAAGGATTATACTTATAATGCAAAGAAGATTTCAACATTTAAAATTTTTGTAACCGTTGTAATTTATTACCTGTGAAGGTAATCTATTACTAGATTTTTAAAACTGAAACCACATTGATTTTAGAGCAAACATAATCTATTACCAGATATGGTAATTGATTAATCTGTGCTTCTTAGTAAGCATAAAACTTAATTTGTACAAAGGTAATCGATTACTAGAATGGGTAATCGATTAACCCGATACCGAAAGCAATTGTTTCACTCAAAAGTCACCATGGTAATCTATTACCACAAATGGTAATCGATTAAAACAATGAGATCTACAAAGTTCAATTCAAATACTAATTTTTGGTAATCTATTACTTGAAATGAAAATCTATTACCTCACTTAACATTGAATTCTTTTGAATGATTCAAGTTTAATTTAATGTTAAAACACTTTGTAATCTATTACCAAAACTTGATAATCTATTACATTATGTTTTTGTATAAAATGAGAAACATTGAGATACGTTTACTAAAAAACCAAGATAAATTTTGAAAATAAACAACATAACAAGCAAACACATACAAGTCTAAGTCTTATGAAATAACCAATACAATGTCCTTTTAACATAGGCCAAAAATATAAAATGAAGCAAACTTAAACAAAGCTACATTAAAACTAAAACTACATCTTCAAAAAGGCTTCAGACTCAACAAATAGAAATAATTATAATTTTTTTTAAAATTACATGAACTAAAAAAAATAATTTAGGAATTAGTAATAAATTTATCTAAAATTTGATGAATTAAAAATAAATTTAAATTATGATAATTTTAAAATATTAAAGTTTAATTTTAAAATAAAAATAAATAGAAGATAAATTAAAAAGGATAGATCAACACGAAGTATAAGTATACAAATAAAGAAAAAATCATAATGGTTTAAGAGAGAGGATTTTTTTTTATTAGTTGTTGAATGTCGAAGAAGAAAGAGAATTTTGAGAGTTACTAATTGAGTAAGCAAAAATAATAAGAATGTCAGTTCTACTTATACTCAATGGGGACATGAAAAAAAATGCTCACACTGAGTATGATAAATACTCATTCAATAGGGGTGTTGATCGGATTACATCAATCTGACAAATTTGATAATTTGATTCAAACCAATTAAATTAGTTTAAATTTTATTTTCGTTTGGATCCAACTTAAACAAAACCAATTAAATTAGCTGTTGATTGATTCAAATATCTTACACATTTAAAATCTGAAACAACCTGAACTAAATCAATTAATTTAAATATTTTTATTTTTATTGGTATTGGGTGCATCTAATGAACATATTCATTCTATCCTTCCAATATGGGTAGTCTTCTCCATTGAAGGTCGGGAGCCTTGTAAGAGAAGCTTCTTCTGGTAGGTACTATTCTTAACTACTAGTCATCTTAGGATATTTTTCATTGGCATTGTTAGTGCTCAACCATGTCAAAGGCTGAACTTTGAAACCAAATCGTAAAGAAAAGAGAAACACTAGAAGGGGGATTTGAATAGTGTTACTAAAAAATTCCCACTTTTTGCACTACAATGAAATAGTAATTGCAACATATATGAGAGGACAAATGAAGCAAAGAGTGAACCTAGGGATTTATACTGGCTTGTCTTGACCTCTAAGACTACGTCTAGTTATTTATCCAACCATATTAAGTTTCATTATCTTATCAAGATACAAGTATTTTTTACCAAGTCACTTTTGGTTCAACCCCAAGTATTCTTTGAATTGCCTTTTCAAGCAATCTGCCCAAGTATTCCTTATACACGAAGCCTCTCTATGCTTCAACATCGAGTATTCTTTTACAGTCAAGCTTCTCCAGGCTTAAACAACTAGTATTCTTTTACAGATAAGTCTCTCCAAGCTCAAACCCAATAACTTAAAGTTATAATTTTTTTGTGGAGAAAAAATAAACACTAGAAAGGGAGGTTGGATAATGTATATCAAAAACTCGCATGATTTTCTATAGCGAAGTAGTAACTCTAGTCAGATAGAGTATGAAGAGTAGTAAGATAGAATACTGAGAATTTTTATACTAGTTCATCTCAATCATTGAGATGACATCTAGTTCATAATCTAACCAGATTGAGTTCCACTAACTTTAAACAAAAATACAAGTATTCTTTAACAAGTCACTTTTAGCTCAACCCTAAGTATTCTTTGACTTGCCTCTTTAAGTAACTACCCAAGTATTCTTTTATCAACAAGCCTCTCCAAGTTTAGCAACCATAGTCAAGCCTCTTCAGGCTCAAAATAAGTATTATTTTCAGACAAGCCTTTTCAGATTCAACCTTATGGCTATGGTTATAAAGGTTACATAAATGTTTTGTTTGTCTCACTTAAATGTTATACAACCAGTACAGAACAATGAGTATTTACAAGAAAGAATAGATTTATAGAGAGCATGTTTCTATACAAATGTATATGGCACATATCTCTTATGTAAAAACAAAAATATATCTTTTTTCTTGAGCTTTGAATCTTCTTATATAGTAGCTCGAAGAAGATGATTGTTATAACATTTTGAATCCAGCCCACAAGTTTACTTCATTTATCTTCATCGTCTCTCCTTATGATGGTAGATGACCATTTGACTCATTTAATGCAAGCATTAAATGCATTTCACCAAATGACATCTCTTATCTGATCAAGGAGTCTATTTATCAACTTTCCATACAAAATGGAGCTTGCAAAAGTAATGCTAGTGTAGAGCAGTTATAATAGTGACTTTATCTACTTTTTCCGTGATTTTAGGGATCTTGGTTCTAATGGAAAGCATGGTTCTTCTCTTTAATAATTTTGTGAGTTCCAAGATGGCTTTCTGCTTCAATCTATTAAGGAATGAAACATTCAATACAAATTTTATCATTAATCTCAATAAATAATAAACACTCAATGTATATGAGATAAATTGTATGCTTTGTCTGATTTACAACATCTCATAGATGATCTGTGTCTTACACTTCATCTGATACACTTTTCAAAGATATTTTTCAAAAACATTTTTGCAAACATTTCTTCTTTATAAAACACTTTGTTTATTAGCATTAAAAATATAAATTCAAGGGATCTATATCATCTTTTGACTTAACAGGTTTAGAAGGCTATTTCATTTTCTTGTAAAGACATGATACAACAAATCACGTACAAAGACTTTTACAAAAAAAAGAATGAAGATTTTACAATGACCAATCTCTATTGTCATAATTGAACTATCGTATATTTCTTTCTAAGCTTCCTTTTATAAGGCTTCAATGAAGATGACCATTTCAAATCCTTGAGCTTTCCTCTCATGGCTTGCTTCGTTTACCATGCATGTGTCAAGATGTTGCAATGATAAAGCATCTTTTGATTGCAGCTTTTTGTATTGCAAAGATAAATTGTCCTTTTTTAACTCAAAGCATGTCTTTATTTCCTTTTTGTAGAATGTTTG